GATGTTTGTTAGCTTCATGTGTAAAGGGTGTCTCGATTGTTGAGCAGCTTGGTGTAGTGTTTGCATTTGGAAGTTGAGATGTCTGTGATGTGTTTTGTTGTATCATGTTGGTACCCACTTGATGTTGAAGTTGCGATTCAAGGATAAAGATGACTTCATATGGGGCCTTGTTGGTCGTCGCTTCTACATTTACACTTTTTATGTATAAGATATGCTCTTGAGTAGTAGCTGTCTGAATTCTGGAGTTGTTCTCCATGGTTTCCTATTGGAATGTTTATGAAAAACAGTTAACAATACATTTAAAGGGGAAAATAAGGAGGTATGTAGAGAAATTTAATTTTTGGATTCATACCTGAGCAGTTTTGTTTCATCAGTTCTTTTGCTGGGCATTTCAGGAATGTTTCGATTGGATTTCCAATAATTGATGCTGTTATCGAGCCTGTGAAATCTTGTAATTCGACGATTGCTCTTGCTCTGTTAAAATAAAAGTGGAATTGTTGTTAGTGTTGGATGGTTTATCATCATTAGATAATATGTAATGCATAGATTCATATAGATGATGTGGTTGTGACATGATTATAATCATACCTTGGAGTTGGTGTAGCATAATTGTGCTTGCAAAATCTACAGAAATATGTTTCATTCACACTTGCACTTGCTGATTTATTGCAGTTGTCACATGATAGATACCATAGTGGTTGGTTTAATGGAACAAATGTGACATTTGCTTTTGTCCAGAAGTGTTTTTGCTGCAATGTATAAAATAATATGTGAAAAAATGGGTTAGTGGTAGGTGTGAAATGTTATGCAAGTGAGGAGTAGTAGTTTAGTGTACCATATGTTGGAGTTGTTGAATTTGTCTGATGTTGAGTAATTTTTGTTTTGGCGAATGACAAATTGTGGTGGACTTGGGGAAGATATAATCTTTTCTTGCCACAATTTCATTTACTGTAGTTATGTTGGTTTCCAACCTAATATGCATGTAAAATTTGAATTGTTAAAAAGAATAAAGAAATTAAGAATAATAATGACAATAGATATAAGTATGCAAATTGATTGAGTGAGGGAGAGAATATACCAATTCTTTAGTTCAAGAACTTGCTCAAATGGGGGATTAATGAGCATTGACGAGTTCATTTTTGTAGAGATGGATATACCTAAATAGTCATTGAATTTAGCTTTCATGTATGAGGTTTAAATTGGTATGTGTTGGTGTGATTGTGTAGCAGGATGAGTGAATTTACCATTAAAAGAAGTTACTTTTAGTCTGCTGTCCACAAGAACTGGTTTTTTTGTGATGGTGTTGCAAATGGTATGACATTCATTTGTGACGAAATTGTCTCACATTGGAAGAATTCATGTTTCGAACCTGTAAGATTTTTAGTTGTATTTAATATCTACCTGAAAGAGTTAGTTTAGTGTAGGTAGTTGTGTCTAACCTTTCGTTCATGAGGATGACGTCTTGCACTGTTGATTGGCTGTCATGAACTTGAATTACTCTTTTAGGGAAGATGTCGATTGCAATTCCAATGATGTCTACAGGAAGTAAGTTGTGTTTGTAATTAGTATGAGCTGTAGTGCACGTTTAAAATAGAGGTAATGAGGTGTAGGATGCTAAATAGGATTGCAAGTACTTACTAATTTTTGCCTTTGTGTCCATGTATGGCTGAAGTTTTAGGAATGATATGAAGGTGCAAGCGGATAAAAGGAGAGAGTTGAATTGTTCAATAACTTCAACAATTTTGGTTTTCGCGTTGATTGTCCATCGGATGTTACCAAGTTGGGCGGCATAGTTTTTATCAGTTTCTTTAACTTGTGCATTAGAGATGAGGTATGTTTTTTGTGGTAGTAAGGTGTCTTCGAAAGCTTTGATGGCATTGTCGAATAGTGTAGCTTGAACTTTGTTCCCCTGCAAGAAAATGAAGTTGAAAGATGTTATGGTCAGATTTTATAAGAGAGGATAGATAAGCAGTTACATGAATCATGTTCTACCAATTCATCACATTGCATATAAGTAGATAAAATCATTTCTCAGAAACGGACTAAACTATTTAGATAGAAAAGGTGATGGTCTAAAGTTGTGTTAAAGGCAAATGTAATTGAAGAAGTATACAAAACTCAGTGTTGGATAAATTAGCAACTTTACCAGATAACATGTAGGCACATGAAAGCAACAAAAATCACAACAGGGTTTCGCATATTATACAATTGTTTAAAATGATCCCAAACGGAACTCTCGAACTTCACAAACCATATATAGACCTGGTAGCTTTCACTTCTCATAAGATTAGAATCAAAGACTAAAATACACTACAATTCAATTTGAAAATATGGGTCATGTCTCACTGCATTACAGTATGATACTCATTCTTCTTCGTTTCTAGAATCCCAATTTTCCATAGCTCATTAGATGCTTATAACTTGCAATATTTTCTAAAATGAAACAGTAAATTAACTTCTCAAGAAACTATTTTACACCAAAATTGACAAATTCTTCAAAATTACAGGAATCGAAAATGGGTTACTTGGATCAATATCTGTGCTAACAAATTCTAACATCACATTACAAACCCAAACAATTAGTGCTGGAATAGAGGGACGGTGAAATTGATTGAGAGAACAAAAGGCAGAAAAGCAAGATATAAAAAATTATCTAGGGACCCATAGTCTCCATACTTTTAGTCTGCAGGCAAAGACTTGTCATCATGTGAACATTTTTAGACATTATAGATATGCCTATATAAGTGCAATGATTTAAAATTTAATGTTGTTCAAAGTTGACAACGTTAGAAAGAAAATGGTAAGAAATGAGCATATTTTGGGTCTTTTATGATATTAGCACTAATTAAACAAGGAGTTTGATGACAGAATGAGCACCAACTAAACAAGAAGTTTGATGACAGAGTTACATGAAAAATTATAGGGAGCAGGCACTGGGAGATAATGAGATGTTTAAATTGGAAAAAAATTAATAATCGCATGTTGGAAGTTGAGGGTTTTGATTTATCGTGGATCTAAGTTTAAAATAATGAAACTTAAACTATGTGAGAAGATTTACCTTAGGATCCATTAACCAAATGTGTTGGTATTTCAATGGGTTGTTCCGAGCTTTGTTGGGAGAGCACTTTTCTGAAACTACTGCCTTCACAGTCCAGCCAAACTCTCCTGGTTTGATGTCAGGTATGAGTTTGTAATCTGTGGCAATTTCCACCTGCAACGAATTTTATTTGATTAGTAGATGAGAATGGGTAGAAATACAAGAGTGAAAATGAAAAAGAAATATTGAAGAATTTATGAGAAGATGTATTTAAAAATGTTTGAAGTTAATGTATGCTATTAGTTGAAAGAGGAGAAATTACCTGGGTGAAGTTAACGGTGAGCAAATGAAATTGAAGAAGGTTAACTGGGTGAAACAGATATATTGGTTTGTTGTATATTGAGAAATGAGGTGGTAGTGGAAGAGAAAGTTAGATTTCTATTATAGAAAGAAGAAAATGTTTAGTGGTAGGCAAGAAATTATGTTTACTGTTATTATAGGCAGAAGTTTGTAGTGAATGATTGTTGGAAGTGGGTTGCCAGGTGCTGTGTATATGGGTTTTTGCAATTATGGATGGTGGTCGGTCATAGAAAGGAAATTAGCAGGTTAAAAATGTTAAAATGGCACAAATGAAGGAGGGAAAGATAAATTGGGAAGAGGTTTTTAGTGGTGTTTTATATGTTGGGAGATGAGAAATGGTAGTGGATGGAAATGATGAAAATTTAGAATAAGTGTAGTGGAAGTTGGATGTCTGTTTTTAATGCAGAATGGAAACCTTTTGGTGGCAGGCAAAAATTTTTATTCAGTATTGTAAGTAAAGGGATTTAGAAAATGATGTAGGAAATGGGTTGTTAGGGTAATTATGTGATTTTTGGTAAGGGACAGGTGTCCTTTTGGTGGAATTAGTAGGTGCAGTGAAGTTAAAACAATTTTGGAGATTTTGTATTGACGTGAAGAAGGAAAATTCTAACTTTCTTCCTCTGTGTAGCTGATTCAGATATGCTGAATTGCAAGAAGTCAATACCTACATTTAATTTTCAAACCAAACATTTAGTGAGACACTTAAAATTGTAAAAATAATGGAAGTGCTTTGCTAATCATTACTAAAGAGAGACCTTTGATTGTGCTTCAGATTAGCTGAACTGATATCGTAATCAATGGTTTTGATGAGGACTCGTTGGTTTTCGGCATTTTCCGAAGGAAATAGTCGATGAAGTTGAATGGAGTATAAGGTTGCATCTTCCATTTCAAAATGATTAGTGCCAAATACTCCGTTCGCTTTTAGCTCAAAAGAAGAACTTTGGATCCCCAACCTGTTCTACTGATCCAGATTAACAATAAGATGAATAAAATAAATTCACAGGCGTATCGAAAAATCAATGCAAGACCCTAGAACAATTAGGCTAAGCTCATTAGAAGTAAATGAAGTTAATTTGATATGGCTGAAGAATGGTTTCATGAGCTGAATTTTGGAAGGTTATATCATATTATAAAGAAGAAAACCCCTTGGCATCCAACTAGAGTGACTGATACTGAATAAGAAATATAAACAATGGATAAAGCAGAAAATGAAAATATGAGATGGTGACGTTTGGCAAATTGTGGGATAACAAAAGAAAATTTGGGGTGAAAATATTGTAAATATTAGAATGAAGTTTTGGAAAACTGGTCATTTACTTGCTAGCATGTTGAACAACTGAATTCATTTTGATGATAAACATGCACAATTGAACCTAATGCGAGATGGATAAAAGAAGAGATTTTTTCAAAAGTATAAACACAAATGATAAAAGCTGAAATTGGGTAGAGAAGAAATTCCTACCAAATAAACATCAATGACAATGCAGATAGTGTATCCTTTGGATAAAAAATTTGAGAGCTAAAAACTAACACAATATAAATATTTCAATTAACTAACCTGCTAAAAATTCTTGATTATCAAAAGGAAGAATGAAGTTTAGGTTCACTTGTAATTGAGACTGTATCGCGAGAGCAAATTCGGGTGCTGTTCGACACCCATTCCTATCATTTTCTCAACATCCATTCTCCATATCACTGTAACAAGCACATTTCAGGTTTATTAAGCTTCGATTTAGGTTTTATTGAGAATTAGGCGGTCAGAATGTTCTATTTTTCCTCTTTCTAATATTCACCGAAGGCTTTGTTTTTTCCTCTTTCTTTGTAGATCTGAAAATATTTAACTTCACTTAGCAACATAACACTGAACTTTTCACCCTTCTTATCAGGATTCTCAGGGTTTTTCAACTTATCTTTTGCCTTCTTTGGTTTATGTGATCCCAATCCTCTCTTGACATTGTTAATATAAGCCTATACAGGCTCCAAGCTACCCTGCATGGAATCAAGGACTAATTAGAAACTTGGCGAATTATCTTATGTTTGGAGTTCAGATTAATGGTGGACAAACATCACTATGACAAAAAGTATGTTCCATATTCTCGAATCAGGAACAAGAATTAGCTCTAGATGATCAATTTTAAGTGAAAAGTAAATAAGCCATATTTATTATTCAAAATCTAATTGTCTTGCATGATGTGTCTTCTTCTTTATTGTAAAATTGATAAAGCATCAAGGATGGAAATTTAATTCACCATTTGCCAAAGTTATATTCACAATCTGAAATAAGGAACAAGAACTGGCTATGGATGTTCCCGTTGCATGATAAGCCAATTTTATAACTCAAATGAGTAACATTTATTCCTCTTTATTTCGAAGAAGTAAATCGAAGAAAAGGAAAGGAAGCCAATTTTATAACTCAGATGAGTAACATTTATTCCTCTTTATTTCTAAGAAGTAAATCGAAGAAAAGGAAAGGAGCCATGTGAGATAATTGAACATCATTTTTCTATCGCAGCATCAACTAAATTATTGTAGAGACCATAGATCATCATCATTTATGCTAGTGAAGGTCATAGACAATTATAATTGGGATCATAGAATTGTCTCCTAAGATAATTGGGGATGAGTCATAAGTTGTTTTACTTTATCTTACACGAAATAACTTTTGCTAGGGTAATGCCTAAAGTGGGGAAGATATTTCAATCCAAAGAGTTCATTGGAAAACAAAAATAGTTATTGATAGCACAAGTGTAATACTTTCAACCAAATAACACAATTCCCAAACAAAGATATTTAACCGGCAATTATTTACCTTGAGCCATTTTCTGAAGATCTTTTGGCAACAATGGATGCTGAGGATACTTTTCTTCTAGATACTGTAACATTGCAGTATTCGGTCAACAAGAATACTTTTTGATAGTAAGGTCGAATAATACAAAATCCACAATTAATCAATTCTATATTGCCATAATCAATGAAGAAATTCACCATTAGTCTAGCAAAAGAGTCTGCAAGTACAAAATCATCATCCAGAAGTACTGGCACGTATCCAAGTGGATTAAGCTTCAAAAACTCTACAATCTGACAAATAGAAAAGTGTAATAAAAAATTCTTAGGATAATAATCAACTAAAGCAACATATAACTTAGAAATATAGATAAACAAGGTTATGTCAACATTTATACATAATTGAAAAGAAAAACAAAGAGGGTGAGAAGGGAAAGAGTCAAACCCTGAGATTTTTGGTCCCCTTTGAGCAAGTGAATTGCAATGTACTAATAATCTAACCCTATTTATTCAATTCATGGTTTCATTTGTTTCATTAATTATAAAAAATTAATAAAAATAATTTTAAGAAATTAAGTAAAAACAACTCAAGATTATCAATATTTCACTAGCTAAGAATACTAAGGTTAATTAGGCAAGAAATGCTCATCTCGCTACTCTGTACATAAATCTTAATGAGAATTCCACATATTCACAAATCGCTATAATTTTGTTACAATGAATGAAGAGACGATATCTTACTTGAACTAGGTGCCCGAGCAGAGCTATTAAAACACAAATGACAGTTGATAACTAGGTTACAGAAACAATTGAAATACAAATTTTGAAACCTTCTGATTTCCACGCTGCAAAAATGATTCACAAAGGTTTTCAATATGCAAATTTTAAAAATTTACAGATGAAAATTTAAGTAAGCCATACTGTTCGGAAGTCGAAATTTAAAATGTAGTAATTTAACTGTAACGGTTATGCTTCTTTACGATTAGAGATTTACGCAAGAAGCATAACATGTTTGGCAAAAATTCAAGTTAAAAAGTAAACAAGTTCTTTTGAAAAAAGTAATCTTTTTTATCAAAGTAACTTTTTTACTTCAAAGAAAAAAATGTGAAACAATGATAAAATTTAGTTACCCACATCATAAATTGCAATTTCGAACAAGGTCAAAGCAGTGAAGAAAATAGCATGAATGGAGAAAGATACATCATTGACAGCTACAGGTATCGTCTACAATAAAACGACCACAAGAAAATAAATATATTCATCAAAAACCATATAATTGAAACCTTTGATCCCAAAAATTATATAAATGCCCACATAATCAACATTCAAGCCAAGGAAAATTCAATTATGAATTCAATAATAAGATCATATTTCGAATTACCTCATTGAAGCCAAATTTTTGGCCATATTGCCTCTGCACAGTGGAGCTAAAGTAGAGAGAAGAAAAACATAATTCAAGACACCTTACAAGGTACAGTAAAAAACAAAAGAAGGAAGAGAACGCCAACAATAGTTTTCCCTTATGTTTCATTCAGATTTTTTGCCTGCTAATATTCTTTGGTTCCAATAGTATCAAAGTAATCGTTACTTCATTTAAAAAAAGAAACTCAGAACACGGGTTTATTATAAACAAGTAAAAAGGAAGGGAAAAAAATTAACTACATATTAGCAAATTTCAAAACGTTTTGTCGGGATTCGTTGACTGGGAAGAATTCCCTTAGTTTGATATATTTGTTTGGTTTCCTGAGCATAAACCCCCAACACATTTTTATTTTTATTTTATGCAAAACTTACTCTGTTAAACAAAGCAAAGTTCAAGAACCTCTCAATTTTAGTAAACCAAAATCTCATTTTACATTAACATAAACGTTGAAAAGATTGAAAAGAAGTCCTTACCATGAAATTTTGGTATCCTGAATGGTTTTTGTATGAAAACTCGGAGTCGGAAGCGGGCGGGTGGAAACACATCAGCAACATCTTCCTCTTCTTCATCTAGTTAACTGGTTTGCGAGGAGTTGGTGAGTTTACAAGGTTCTCTGCCAACATCATTGAGTACCTAATAAAATTGTGAAAATAAAGAATGTTATTTTCAAAAAATTATAAAGAAAAAGTGTAAAGTTAATTATGTTATGGACAAACACAATAATATCATGTGGAATGCCACTACTATTAATTGTTATCTAGGTACAATAACTACATGAAAGAAATTCCAAAGAACAGCAGTTTACCTTTCAGTTTGCCTTAGAAGAAACTCCAGCTGCTTATTAAGTGCTTTTTTCTTCTTTTGATCAAGCTCTAGCTGATGCTTTTACAGGACCTGCAATAACCATGCATAGGAATTTTTTGCTCTGAGAAGGTAGTGAACACAACATGCTCGGAAAATGATTAAAAGCAATTATCCTAAATGACTTGCCAGTTTCTCTATTTTTGTCCAAAATGTCTTTATGTCTTTAGAAATATTGGCTGCCACTTTTCTCAACCGTTGTTCCTCTTCCTGATCAAAGCATTAGGAAGTCAAGTACAACCATCAGTAGAATGTGCAAATAATTTTCTATTCTTGTATAGCCTACACTTATGAATCTTTTCAGGACGAGAATTAAATCTAAACCTTCCCTCTCTTGTCTCCCCTTGCTGGCCCTTATTGCAACTTTCTTTGCTTGAGCAAGTTTCCATTTTCCCTCTGATTTAAAGTCCTGCTAGTAACAAAGTCGTTAAAAAACCCATAAATAAATAAATATACACACACAGATATATAT